TTAAAAAAAAAAAAAAGCAGAAAAGGGAAAATTTTCAAAAAAAATTCTAATAATTGCTAGAAGACTAGAAAGATGCAGTTTACAACCTCCTAAACATTAGTTTTAGTATCTGAGTTATGCCAATTGGTGTGCAGATTGGAAAGGACAGCCTCCATTGTGGACTTAATGGTTGAATGTCAAGATTTGGAGCGATTTTCTGTCATTAATCGTTTTGCGAAGTTTCACATACGTCAAGCAGAACTCTCTGGAAATGTATCATCAAATGGATTAGTTACATTGGCACCAAAATCATGCCCCCAAAGATATGTAACTGCACACCCCATTCCCAGTCATCTTCCGGAGGGTGTACAATGCCTTTCCCTGTAGCAATAGTTAATTGGACCCTCACAGCTAATTCCCTAGTCACATCTACATACAAACCATATCCTGCCCGTTCTTTTTGTCTATGATCTCTGCATTGACATGATGTGGCACCGTAGAAGAAACAGGATACAAGAATAGATTCATATGGTGGAAGCTTTTGATAATTGAGGCCATCCATTCTTTCTCAAATCTAGGCCAAACCGTTGTTTATTTTGGTAAAGTACATAGTGTTATCATGTATCATGTAAATTTTCATGAATTTCCCAGGGGGAACAAGTTATTCTGAAGTGAACTCTTCAGAGAGGATGATGTTGGGTATGGTTATCGTATATCGCGTTTCCAATACGTAAATTAGAGAAACTATCCTGCCAATTTATTGCTCTGTGTATTACTAGTCTTGTTTTTTTGCAGTTTTTCTTCTACTGTATCACTTTTTCAGGTTTATTTTTAAGAAAAAGTTGAGGAAATCAGCATGGATGAAGTTGGCATCCTGAAGACCAAGGGAATAAAACAGTGAAAAAGGTAAAAGTTCTGGTTTTAAAATCTAAAGTTCCCAACAAATGCGTATTTTTGCCTTTTAATTTCTTTCTTTTTCATTGGTCACGTGTAAGCTTGTTCATTGATTGGGAAACACAGACATTGACTGTTTCCTAAGTGCCAAAAGAGAACACATTTATGAAGTAATATAGGACAAGAAGATATTGTTCTTGCATTCCTAATACATTATGATTTTTAAAGTTTCCTTTTTGTCGGAAGATTCTGTGGTTTGGTTGGTTGGCTGAAAGCAGGTATAGCTTGTTTTGTCAATGTCAGTATCTGATTCAACTCATGATTGGGAAGATGATGTGAGAGAAAGCTGATATCATATCATTTTCAAAGACATTCTGAATAATAATGGGATTCATGAAACAAATCCAAAACCAAGTCTTTTTCTTTGCATTATATTATAATAAATGTTCCAGCTTTGTGGGGGCTATTTGTTTGTACGAGGATAAAGTTAGTGGATGGGTTTCCTTCAATGTTCTTTTCTTTCATGTTCAAGATTCCTTTGGACTAATTGTCCTGATTCTCTGGAGTTGGACCAGTTTTTCTTCAGTCACTGTAATGCAAACTGTTCTGATCTGCCACCATTTGATCTGACTTTGCTGCTTGATGATGCTGGCCTTCAGTTTCTGATGCCTTTTTTCACCTCTCAAGATTTCATTGTTTTTTGAAAGGTTATTGACCCAAAATGTAAAAATGATACACCGGTGAAGAGTTCTCGTAAGGATGTAGAAACTTTTTCTTAGCAGACGCGTTTTAAAATCGTGAGGTTGATGATTATACGTAACGGGTCAAAACGGACAATATTTGCTATCGATGGATTTGAGATGTTATAAATGATATCAGAGTCAGACACCGAGCAGTGTGCTAGTTAGGACGCTGGCCCCAACGGAGAGGATTTTGAATTCCATGCTGGTTGGAGGGAGGAATGAAACAAACTTACAAGGGTGTAGAGATCCCAAGTGGGTGGGTAGTGGGATCTCACATAGGTTGGAGAGGGGAACGAAGCAGTGTGGAAACCTCTCCCTACTAGAAGCATTTAAAAACCGCGAGGCTGATGTCAATACATAACGGGTATGGGCTATTACAAATGTATTATTTATCTTATTACTCATAATTATTTTACAAAATCAAAACTACAACTTGGTACAAGATTGAACAAACAAATCTTGTGTTTTAAGCCCTCATGCAAGTCGACAAACTTCCTACAATTTCTTCGCAAGACGAATGGAAATCGAAAAAAAGAGAGCAAATTCAAACATGGGATATAGAAATAATTGATCTCCACGATTATATGATATTGTCTACTTTGAGTATAATATCTTATGTCTGTACTTTTGATTTTTGAAAAATAAAAAAATATCTTATATGATTGAAGATAATATACTTTACTTAATTAACTAATATGACTCAACAAACCATATAGGAATAATTGAGCTCTCAAAAAAATTTTTTTAAATTATAATTTTAAAATTATACGAAAACTAACCATTGCCCATAAAAATATAATATAATTTTATATAATAATAAATAACAAAATTTACTAAAAATTTGTTAAGTATTAAAATCAAGGGAAAATTAGAAATAAAAATTAAAAAATTAAAAACTTTAAAATTTGAGAGTAAACTGAATTAAAAAATAAAAAATAAAAAATAAAATGAAAAACAGAAATCTAACAGGCCGAGCCCAAATGAAGCATCAACTAATATAAAAAGTTGCGGAAGCCCTAGTTCTAAAGTTCTCCTCTTTCGCGCGATCATCTGCACTTTCTCAAGCATGGCGACGGCGAAGACTGTCAAGGACGTCTCTCCTCACGAATTCGTGAAAGCCTATGCGGCACATCTTAAGAGATCTGGAAAGGTATTGATTTCTTATCTCTACTTCACCTCTGTCGATTTGGTGGCTTACAGAAGTTGAATGTGGATTAAAGAGAGCATTTTAGGATGTAGATTTTGATCGTGGAGTGAAGGCTAGGTTCGTTTCGGTGTAATTTCTCTGTTTTCAGCTTTTGCGGGCTAGTTTGGAGGTTTTAGGGTTTTAGTTGATCCTTATTTGTTGTGTTAGAGCCTCATTGTGCTCCTGATTTATAAGAGTAGCTTTTTTTATATGTTTGGTGAAGATTCCGTTGTTACTAGTCTAGGTGGTTGTGAAACACGCACGCTTTGAATATGTTGTTCTGGTTATTTGTATTTTGTTCTTACATGCCCTCGAGTACTTTTGAGATCTAATTAATTTTGTGACATGTTCTTCGTCTAAACAATTTCGTAACACGAGGTTTTGAACTTTTTGGAATCTCCATAGTTTTGTTAGAAGATTTTAATTCCAATCCTCTAAATAGTTGACTTTCTTCCTGACGTGTTATCACTTTGTTGTACATAAAGTATTTCTTGTTCGAAATAATTCGACTAGGATTTGTTTTTAACTTGCTATTCAATCATTGCCAAGCAGGTTGAACTTCCTCCATGGACTGATATAGTTAAAACTGCAAGATTCAAAGAGCTTGCTCCTTATGACCCTGATTGGTATTATGTGAGAGCTGGTCAGTCCCCCCCTTCTCGTCCATTTGTATTCCATATATTCATTTGCAATAAAACCTACCAATATGAATTGCTGCTATTATGTATGTAATGTCTTCCCTCACCGTCTCATGTTTACCTTTTCAAACTTCTTTAGCCTCCATGGCTAGGAAAATCTATTTGAGGGGAGGTCTCGGTGTGGGGGCTTTTAAGAGGATTTATGGTGGAAGCAAGAGGAATGGAAGTCGCCCTCCACACTTCTGTGAGAGCAGTGGTGCTATTGCCCGTCACATTTTACAACAGTTGCAGGAAATGAATATTGTTGATGTCGATCCCAAGGGGTGAGTGCAAAATTCTATTGGGTTTTGCCCCTTACATCTGATATTCCAAGTTCAATGTCAATCGAACATACTTGATGTATTTTTCTCTCCGTATGTGTTTACAGTGGTAGGAGAATCACATCAAGCGGCCGACGGGATCTTGACCAAGTTGCTGGCCGGATTGTTGTTGCCCCTTGATTGGTGAATAGAGATTTGTGCGTTTGCTGATGAGATACCACCATGAAATTTTTGGAGTAAGCTGTTGAAAGATATTCAGATGAAGATAAGTTTAGTCTTGTTTTCATGGGTTTTGGATGGTTTAAACTTTATTTTCATTTACTTGGTCATGATTTATGGGTTTTTAGGATGAAATATGTTTTTCAATATTGTCAACAGTAGCCTTGATATGCTTAGCATCAGACCTTTGTAGTAATTTTTGAGATATCATATCTTAAGAGTTTGTCCACTTGAATCTTCTCCATTGTTCGTAATTATATCGTTTGAATATGCTCATTTTAATCCCGAAGTTTCCAATAGAATTTTGTGTCATTAAATTGTAATGGGATGTTGAATTTCTGCTTAATCCCCATATTATATATAATATATAATATAGATCCAATAATAATAATTAACTTAAAAATTAAATAAAATTGAACCCATTGATAAACGTGCACAACAATTGGTTTTCAAATTAGGGTTTTGAGTTATAGGCTTTGAAGTTTGTAACAACTCGCTCACCCCAGAACTATCGGGGAGAGGCGAGATCTCATAATCCACTTTCTTTAGGTGGCTAGTGTGATCTCACAATCTACTCCCTTGAGGACCAATGTTCTCATTGGCACACCGAGCATCCACCTCTTTTGGGGGCCAACGTCCTAGATGGCACACCGAGCATTCACCTCCCTTGGGGATCAACGTCTTCGATGGCACACGCTCGATGTTTGACTCTAATACCATTTGTAACAGCCTAAGTCCACCACTTATACATATTGTCTACTTTGACCTGTTATGTATGACTCACAGTAATACATCTACTAAAAAGATATTTTCACACGCTCAAAGAATGATTTGTGTTATTCTATGAGAGGTGAGATTGTCCAAGCACTACTAGTAATGTTTTACAAAAGTATTGTTTTCAATTCCAAGTTTTATTCAACGGACTGATTGGTTGTCGAGTAAAAATCTTAATATACTAAGAGGCAAGAGGGCCGCAGGGCGGGCATATAACTAATGCACTAACATGTCTATAAGCAAGCAACTATTGGTTGCTTCGTTTGTAATATTATATCAGCTCTACCAAAGAATACATCAGAAACAAATGGCCATCGAAATTAAAAGAGAGAAAGAGAACAACAATATATGTTTATTGGGGGAACAACTATGTCACAAAATTTGAACACACAATTGTTTCTTTCTCTACAAGCTACCTCTCCTCTTCTTCTTCCTCCTTCATTGTTGTTGGAAGCTATAATGGCTCATCATATCATCAGTCCAAGACAAGCAGGATTTTATCTTCTTCTGCTGTGGGATGTGGAACTTTGGTTCTCTAGGTAAAGTTGGAAGCTTTGCTGACCTTTACAAGAACAAAGCTTTCATCATCTCAAGTTTCTATTAAAAGAATTGAAATTCAAATTGAAACTAACTTTTGTTCTCTACCTTCTAGGGATGAAGGGCCTATCAAAGTAAGGCATTGGCTGTGCCTTTGGAACCAATTCCTTTCTCAACCTCCTTACTTCTTCCTCCTCGGCCATCTGTTAGGTATCATAAATATATATCACCCCATTCATGTTTCAGATGCAGAAAACAAACAGACAAACTAACTAACATATATAAATTTGATAGCCATTTCAACCTTCTGCTGTCTCTCTCTTTCCATCTTGTACTGCTCTAACAGTGTCAACTTCTTTGCTACCTTCATCATCAGAAAACAAACATGGATTTAATTAACTAACTTCTTTGCTACCTCCATATCTACATAATACTTTCTACAATGATCAACGAAGGAGGATTTCTTTCCATTTTAAGAGATAAGATCGAAAAACCACCTGATGATCGAAATCGGCGCGCTCCACTGCCCTTACATCACTGTGGAGAACCAGATCCACTGGTCTTGTATTTTCCTTCACAGGTGGTTTTACAAGACACTGCAAAGGGAAATGCATACTTAGTTTTAAGCATAAGTGGCATTCATCAGAACAACCCTATCCCTAACCCCACCGCTAACAAATATTGTCTACTTTAGCTCGTTACTTATCACGATTTTAAAATGTGTCTGCTAGGGAGAGGTTTCAACACCCTTGTAAGGAATGCTTCGTTTCCCTCATTGGCACACCACCTATTGTCTGGCTCTGATACCATTTGTAACAACTCAAGCCCACTACTAACAGATATCGCCATCAACCTCACAGTTTTAACACGCGTTTGTTAGAGAGAGGTTTCTACACCCTTGTAAGGAATGCTTCGTTTCCCTCTTCAACCAACGCGGGATCTCACAATTTCAACAAATAAAAAGACTTGCATGGAGCAAAGGAAATTGAAGATGTTTACCTCTGGTTCATCAGTTGTCCATGGAAGACCTTGAGCAATTGGTATTCTCTGTCTCTCTTCCTCTATCATGCTTTCTTGTACCCTCTTCAGAAACTCTTCTTCCTTCTCCTTTCCTCTTTCCTACAAATTCAAAAGAAACAAAGAAGTAAACCTTATGAATATTGTCCGGTTAAGCTGAAATTTTATGGTCCATTTCCATTTTCCTTACCTCTGTTCTGAGCTTAAATGGCTTTTGCCTAGTGATTTTCAGCTGCTTTTTCTTCCATCTACTTCCACCAATGGTGCCAGCCGATTCAGTGCTCTGTAAATCAAAACAATCATTAAAATTACCAATCAGATAACTCAACAGTTCATTGACAATCATCTTCTCAAAGACATCTTCACTTACACTTCTTCTGCTTCTTCTACCACCATTGGAAGTCCTACTTGAAATGCTGCAATTGGAAAGAAGACACCAAGAGTTAGTCCATAAGAACACAATGGATTCATTCTCCATCACAATGTGGTAAAGTTTACTAAGCTACCAACCTTCCATGAGGCCCGTCCCAAGAAGACGAAACCGAAGCTTGAGGATCCAAACCAAGATTTTCCAATGTCAAAAGCAGCTCCGATGGGCAAAACAAAGAAGATGAAGCCTGCATTTCGGACACCTTCGGAGGAGCCAATCCTGGCAATGCCCATTTCATCACCTTGCTCTTCTCTTCCATGGGCTTCTCTTGGTTTTCTAATTGTTGCTCCTCATTCTCATCGTTCTCTTTTGAAACCTTTGTAGTTCTGAGGTTCTCAAACGCCATAACCAAATTTTTTACTTTCCCAGATCCTGTCTCTATAATACTATTCCTTCGCCTCTTCATCATTGAACTACTCATTTGTTCAGGCGATTCTTTCTCACCATTAACATCACGATTCTCTGATTCAGCCCTGTCTTCGATGTGAAGGTCTTGAATCATCAATTTCCTCTCCAGTTCTTCTTCAATTTCAATCTCAGCCCTAGTTGTCTCATTAATCTGCTCTGGTTCATCGATTTCCCCAATTCCACCGCTCTGATTCTTGAAAAATTCCTCCTGAGAAGCCCTCAGAGTATCGTACGCCATACACAGACATTTCTTCGCACCACTCCCAATTTGAACTTCACACTTACAATCAGTCTTAGATTTCCCTGATTTCTCCTTCTTCAAATTCTTCTTGGCCACCACGAACTTCCTCTCCCTGATCTTGTATTTCGGAGAGTTCACAACCGCCTTAGGGTTTTTCGCGGCCGATTTCTGAGCCGCCTTTGCAGATTTGATGGAAGGAGAGGATTTCGCGAGCTTCGGAACTGGGCTAATCGAATCGTTGAAATTCGGATTCGTATTCTCAGAATGCCTTGGAACTTCTTGAATCATCTTCGATCTAGACCCACATGAGTCTTTCACAGGCGTCACTGTTCCACCGTTCTTGCCGATCGGACCCATTTGCCTGAAACTAAAATACAGATAAAGAAAAATTGGTAACACAATTCGCCGCCGCCGGATAGTTGAGATGGATTCAATCGTCTTCAGAACCGAAAGGGAATTGAATTGAAAGGATATATTCGAGAAGAAGAGGAAAAATGGAACGTTGAGCCCAAAACGCTCTGTGTAACGGCTAGTATTTGTGGGCCGTTTGATCGAAAGTTTTGAAATGGCGTTCGGCTCTCAAAACCGTTGGATTAACCCTAGTGGAGCTTGGTCTGAATGGATTTAACTTACACTACTACCAACCGTTGTGGCTGGGCTACTTGTGACACAAAAAGAAGCCCAAAGATGTTAGGTTATTACGATTTTACCCCTATCTTTACAAAATTGCATTTTTATTAATTTATAAATATTTTTATTACTCAAACACCGTATTCATTTTTTCGTCAAGCTTTGTGGCTTTATTGTACTTTAGGCGAGCAACTGAATAATCCAAGCTTGTTTGATCACACACGCCACCTGCATGGTATCTTATCTCGTTTATGTCTTGACTTCTTTTCAATGGTCACTTTGTATGGTGTGTTAGATGATGTTCTGCCCTTATTGGTTATATCATGGCACTCGTCTAGGCCTTCACATGATCGAATGGGCGCCATTTAAGGGTCATTGCTTCTCTTGTCGCAACCTGAATATTACAACTTACTCTCTTTATAGTTAGGTTGTGACACCTAGAAACGGTGTATCTAACTATGGCTCCTTTAAAGTTGGAATTTTATTTTTGTTGTAAAATATATTTTTCAACCCATTAAATTTAGCATTTAGTGGTTTAAAGTATAAAATAAAAAGTCAATTCATAAGATTTTGGTCAAATCCTCATTAGAAGTAAAAACAAAAGTTTATCAAAATCGAAGCCCCTTTCCTTAGCTTTCTTACACATCCGTCGTGGTGGTTCTCTCATCTTCTTCTTCAGCTCCAAGCCCAAACCCTTGAAAGCTTCGATCTTGAAGCCTCTAATGGCTTCACGTCACTATCCTCATCAGCCCCACCTCCACCTCCACCGAACCCATCTTCCCTCCGCCTGTTGCTGCGGCTGCGACGGCGGCGATTTCGCCACTCCCTGCTTCCAAACCCTCCACCCCTCTCCTCCTCCGCCGTCTCCCTCCGACCCCCTTCTTCAAGCTCTTGCTTCTCAAATCCTTCAATCGGCTCAATTCCAGCACTTGTCTCAGTACCCAACGCTTCGTGCCAAGAAATTTCAATCACACTACCAATTTCAACCCCTCAGTTCCCAAAATCCGAAGCGCGTTCGTGAGCAAGAGCTTCCCCAAGTCATCCACCACTCTACTATCTCCTCTCTTGTCTCTCGCATCGAAGCCCTCGAATCCTCTCTCCATCGAGTTTCTGGTTCTCATGTTCCTCCCCAATCTCTCCGACAAGTTGCTGCCAGTACAATCCAGACCTATTTTCGAGCGTTCCTTGTTCGCCGATCGAGAGCACTAAGAGAGCTTAAGGATCTCGCCATCATCAAATCTAGATTTGAATCTCTTCAATCGTCGCTCTGCAATGAATTCTACTTCGATCGTAACGCTATTTCTCTCGAAATAATGGATTTGCTTCTCCATCTCGATTCCATTCAGGTAATTGAAGCTCGGTCCCTGCCACTTTCGTTTTTCTACTTTATTTCAATGTATTCTCCTTTGATCTTCTTCTCAGGGTAATGATCCAATGGTCAAAGGTAGCAAGAAATCCCTTAGCAGAGATTTGGTTCAGTTCTGGGATCGGATTGATAACTTATCTGTGAAGAGGAACGGCGGGCTTCCTCTCAAGACAAAGAAAAATACAAGGTTAGGCCAAAATGTTAGTAAATCTAGAGTTTCTAACCCTAAGCTTAAGAACTCTGAGAATCAGAAAGAGACTATTGAGAAATTAAAGAGCAGAATAGAAAAGATTTGTGAGCGTTCGAAAATTTTTGAGAATGATGGGAGAGATTTGGATCTTAAAAGGTTTCACCATGTTCATGATGATGATGAGGAGGAGGAGGATGAATCCCCTAGAATCCATGTCAAGAACAGTGATCAAACTGGAGATCAAAATCTTGGAAAAGGCCATGAAATTCAACCTAGAGTGAAGAAAAGTGTTAGATTTGCAGAGAATGGAAGCTTATTTAGGGTTTTAGATGAAGATTATGGTGTTTTGGATGAAGGGGATGAAAGGGATGAAAGGGATGAAAGGAGGGGGGATTCAGGTGATGAGGTTGTGGAGGATATTTTCAATGAAGCTGATGGAGATAATGGATCTTCAGAGATGAGTGATGGAGAAAGAAACCCAGGAAGAAAGATGAGCAGTGGCAATGGAGGTTCTTCATTCTCTGCTCCATTGCCTATGAAGATGGAGAACAAAGCTGATTTGATCATGAAGAACAGTAAGTCTCTGAAAATCTTGGGATGATTATGCATTCATTCTTTGTAGTTACATGTTTCAAATCCTGATTGCCTATGATTCTCTGTTTCATTTCTTGGAAGCTTCATTCTTTGAACAACCTCTGATATTGTAAACTGCTGCTTCTGGAGTTTGGCCTTGGCCTTTGCCACTACCTTGCCTGTGTTTCTGTAATGAAAGCCTCAGTTTTATTTCATTTCTTTAAGCCCTTTGCTTTATTCTGATCGGAGTTTATTCCTTGCTCGAACGAATTGGATACTTGACTTGTGTATGTCGATCGATTGAGCTAACTCGTGTGCTAAGTTTACGTGTAACTACATGATTCATGTCTAATAGTTATAACTTACACGAGATGTCACAACATGTAGAAATAAAATTTGTCGACTGCTGCCACGAATAGTATGCAAGTTCTATGCATGACTCGTGAGCTTGGGACAAGAGTTAGATTTTAAACTCGCGACACAAGTTCATGGTCCCAATGAAAATGTGGATCGAGAAATGTGTTGTATTTGCAAATGACATCATTCATTAGATTAGGAAACTAATTGTCGTTGGCATTGATAGGAGATGTACTCGCTGTAGATGTCAACGTCAACAAACTCAAAATATTCATGACCCACACGTATGGCCAAGAACACACTAGATCAATTTTCTATGGCACGTTTTGTCTTCCCCTACATACTTCTTGATAAAAATTCCGTGTGGTTATAGGTTATCAAATGCAGAATGTTCTAGAAGGGCCACCTTCTTATTATATTTTATAACTTTAAGTTATTTTAAGCATATCTTCACCTCCACATTTGTAAGGTGCTCTCTATTCAAATGTGGTATCGATTAATTCATATATCTCTCATATCCTCGTGTATCACACAATTGATAGATAAAATACAAACAAATTAATAAATTGTACGACATATAATGCATGATTGACTAGTGTACACAGTGGATACCTTAATGCATTATTATTATTTTTTTATGCAAAACTCTTAAAATGTGTAATTTTTTTTATTTAAACAAAATTGTTCTTCAAATTACCTAAAGCAAACTAATAACAATATTACAACTAAAATAATCGGAAGAAATAAATCCATCACAATTATAATATTACAAATAATACAGAAATGAAAATCTCAGCTCACCAGAAATTGCATTGCAGTATACGAAACCTATTTTTTTTTTTAATTATTATTATTATTTTTTTTGTAATTACGGATACCGAGAATTGTTTACTCTCATTTTCCAAGAAAATTAATTTTAGATCGAACTCGAGAAAAGGTCTTCGAGACATCTGAGAATCGACGTTGATGAAATTGAAAAAGTAGTAGCCCCAATAAAGCCTCAAAAAATTTCCAGGGTGTTCAGCACTCGCTTTGTCCGATCATTGGGTTAGAATCATTCCCCAATTGTGGCTTAAACCCAACTGGAATCTGTTCGTTCCTGTTCATTGCGGAATTGAGAAGATCCCACGAGGTACAGATTCATTTTTAGAGCAATCCCAGAAGAATCGATTTCGACTCCGAATGTGGGGTTCGGTGTTAATTGGTTGTCGGTCGATCGTTGATTCTTTCGGGATGGAAATTGATGGGCAGTAGTTTAAGATTCCTGGAGCTGGTTCCTCGAGCGACGAGATTCGATGGCTCTGTTTGGGTAGTGGCTATCTCAGGTATCAGCGGCGACCTGAAGAAGAGGCTGCGAAGACGACGATGCGGCTTCAGTTTTCGCCTAGCATGAGAAGCATCACGGTCTCGACCAGTAATGGGTTTATTGATTTTATGAAGGTCAAGGTTGGAGCTCGTCACATTTCTTATCGAACCCTTTTCCACACTATTCTCTTTCTTGCTTTCTTGTTGCCGTTCGTCTTCATTCTCACTGCTGTCGTTACGCTCGAAGGTGTCAACAACTGCTCCTCTCTGGGTACTGTCAATGAACTCATTACTCTTTTAGTTTCAAAGTTTGTCTTTCTGGTTAACGTTTGTGTTAGTGATGTCATTTTAGACTGATTGTGATGGATCTTATCTGCTTTTGGGGCGTGCAATTATGAAAGATTTCATGTCATGTTGTTGGTCATTTCAGAATGCATTGCAGAATCTGATTGATTTTTTTTTTTTTTTTGTTCTTATTTTATCATGAGACGACCGTAGATGTCAAATCTAATTTAATTTGATGTTGTGTTTTGTATTTTGTTTTTCTTGTAAAATTCATATCTATGCCATAGCTGAGGCAAAGTCTCTTTGTGATCCTCTTCTGCATTACTAATTTCAATGAAGTTTCTCGGTGATGCAAATGACCTTTAAGTTCTGATGCTTAGCTATCAAAATAAGAAAATTAGGTCTGGCTTGTTTGAGCCAGTGAAGTGCAAACACAATGGACAAGGAGGAGACAGTTCAGAGCGAAGTGAAGAAATGAACTTGAACACCGATCTGGTCGAAAGATCGGCCGGCGCCACTCGACTAGAGGAACTGAGAAATTAATAGAGTACAAAACTTATCTTCGATCTTTACCTTATTCTGATCGCGGTTTACAAGCGACTTGGGACATCGAGCGAAGAGCTCCAATGCGCATTTTCGGAGCTACGCAGATGGCGTAGTCGCATAATCCGGATGAACATGAAATATGCTGCTTCAAAATAAATTTAAATAACTTTTTCTTTGGTTAATCTTTTAGGGGCTGTATTTATTCAAGAAAAGAAGCCTAACTGATTAGATAAACGTATGAAGCTTTCAGCTAAGACAGGACATGACATTTTGAGCAATCGAAATGTGACCATTTTGGACAAATATAAAATATCTCACTGATTTCAAAGTTTCATACGAATTCGTGTCCCTAAATCCTTTCTTTTTTGTGCTAGATTGTTTGGGCAGGACATGGGGACCTCGCCTTCTTGGTCGGGTTGACACTTCAGAGGTAATGACCTGATTCTTGTTCTTTGTTTTTCTTTTCATGGTCTTTTTGGTTTGTTTCAAATTCCATTTTTTGTTATTGTAATTGTTGATTGTATGCAGAAGAGGTTGGTGAGTGATCTTTACAAGATCTTCAACCAAGTTAGCTCTGAGGAAATACCAGATGGCCTGAAGCTACCAGATTCATTTACTCAGTTAGTTTCAGAAATGAAAGATAACCATTATGACGCAAAAACATTTGCTTTCATCCTAAGGGCCATGGTATGTGATGTTTATTAATTTCATAACTTCTTGGTGAGGAGAAAATGCCCATTGGGACCCAAGGCTATTTATATTTTTATACCTTGCGTAACATCGTGATGAAAATTGTAACGATTATGTTAACGATAATCTCATCTCATAAAAGTTGATTATGGCCTAAAATCAAGGGTTGAAAGTAGAAATGGATGAAAGGTTCTGGCTGCTGGAGCTAGGCAGTTATTCAGTCAGATCTTTAGTTCTCAAACTTTTTTATGGTGGAAGTATGTTGGAAAAAGGTCCCTGTTCAGTTCAGTTGTTTGGACAGGAACCTGTCCAGAAAAATTGAGAACTAAATGCCCTTCTTGAAACTTGAACCTGCCTCATTGTTCATAGTGTCTATAGGAGCACGAAGATATGGCTTGTTTATTCTTTAAATGATCTTTTAGCTGGAAGATATGGAATTCTTTACTGCAAAATTTTGTGTTTTCTTGAGTTTTTGTTAATCTTGTTATCCATCTGTATGGAAATTATTCCTTAAATGGAGCCTTTTGCAAGATTATTTTCGATTCATCCATATTTCCGAAGAGATTAATTGTTACAAATGGATGTATAGTGCCAATACATATTATCCTACCGATATCTTCCTCTCCCAAGATGGAAGATAAATGGAAGAGGGAAAGAAAACTCATTCACTTGAATGGATCTACCACGGTGCTTTGAAGGCCCCTTTGACCTGTGTATCTTTATCTCTCTCTCTTTAAGAAGCTGATGCTGATAATTTATTTGAATCCACATTTATTCCTAAGATAGAACCTTTTGCAAGATTAATATTCAGTTTTATAAGTAATTCCAAAGAGATTAACTACGACGATTGGAGATGTTGTTCCAACTCTCTCAAGGCAAGAGAAAGAAGAGAGAAAAAACGATTCACATCAATGGATCTACCACCGCTCTTTTAAAGGCCCGCTTGATCATCGTGGATTCAAGCTCTGACCCTCTCAAGTAAAAAGAAAGAAGAACGATCCGCGTGATTGAATCTATAATAATGTGAAAATGTCTGTTTTCCATTTTAGATTTATCTCTTCTCTCTCCCTGTTTCCTTTAATAGATTTGGAACTTTAGTGTTACAGGTTAAAGAAATGATAGGATTTGGAACTTTGTAACTGTAAGCAAATTGAAATCTGGGCTTTTCATAAAATTTATTGTACTTTAGTCAGAGAAGTCACTTATTAACAGTCTAATATTCTCATCAGTGGTTTTTTTTTTTTTTTTTTTGTTGGCGCAGATGGATAAATTTGAGAAGGAAATCAGAGAGTCTAAGTTTTCAGAGCTAATGAACAAACATTTTGCAGCTAGTTCCATTCCTAAAGGCATTCATTGTTTATCTCTGCGTTTAACTGATGAATACTCATCAAATGTTCATGCTCGCAACCAACTTCCTCCTCCAGAGCTACTTCCGTTGCTCTCTGATAACACGTACCAACACTTCGTTCTGTCAACCGATAACATTTTGGCGGCTTCAGTTGTTGTCAGCTCTGCTGTGCAGTCATCTCTCAATCCTGAAAAGATAGTTTTCCATGTCATCACCGACAAGAAAACTTATGCAGGGATGCACTCCTGGTTTGCTTTGCACCCAGTCTACCCGGCTACTATTGAAGTGAAGGGTACTCACCACTTTGACTACTTAACGAGGGAAAACGTTCCAGTGCTTGAAGCTGTGGAGAACCAGGAAGGAATCAGAAATTACTACCATGGCAACCATGTTTCTGGGGCCAACCACAATGATACAACTCCTCGAATATTTGCCTCAAAATTGCTAGTTCGAAGTCCCAAATACATATCCTTACTTAACCATCTCCGCATGTACATACCTCAGGTAATTTGGATGCATTTATGACATATACAACTCAAGGAAACAAGTTATAAATGCTATCATTTCCTCTCCCCACCCATTTTGGTCTTGAGCTGATAAACTAATTTTATACATGAAATGAAATTGTAAGTGAAAACTTTCATGTCTCTGATTATCATGAACCTCGAGCTCGATTGAAACATTAGTGTTCTTTTTTAGGTTCCATTTTACTAGATCAAGTCTACTTAGAAAGAAACATGGTTTTATATGAATATCTAGCAAGTAGTTATTCTATTCTTGATTTTTTGGATTTATGCATGAACTTATACAATTTGGTAATCTTCTCTGCTCCTAAATTGTTCCTCTCTCCTTGTTACTGCACATCAGATTGAGAATTATTATTCTTCATAATTGTTTCTTCAAGGCTTTGTTGTACAAATCCCTGTTTTCCTGTATAAGTATTCTGAATCCATGCATTGAACAGCTCTTCCCCAAACTGGACAAGGTGGTCTTTTTAGATGATGATGTTGTAATTCAACGTGATCTGTCTCGACTTTGGGATGTTGACCTCGAGGGAAAGGTTAATGGAGCTGTTGAAACTTGTAAAGGTGATGATGAGTGGGTCATGTCAAAGCGATTCAAGATCTACTTCAATTTTTCCCATCCCTTGGTAGCAACGCATTTAGATCCTAATGAATGCCCTTGGGCATATGGCATGAACATATTTGATCTTCGTGCCTGGAGAAAGTCGAATATAACAGAAACATACCACTGGTGGCTGAGAGAGGTATGGTACAAATCCATTTTTCATTCTATTTGCTGATTGCATGATTGTCCCTTGTCACTCGAGATGCGATTATGCAATGTTCTTGGATCATTGACTTTGTTTTTGTGGCAGAATCTAAAGTCAAACCTGACACTGTGGAGGCTGGGTACACTACCACCGGCTTTGATTGCATTTAGAGGTCACATTCATCCAATTGAGCCCTCATGGCACATGCTTGGCTTGGGCTATCAGAACAAAACAAACATTGAGAATGTGAAGAAAGCTGCAGTTATTCACTATAATGGCCAGTCTAAACCATGGCTGCAGATTGGCTTTGAACATCTCCGGCCATTTTGGACCAAGTATGTCAACTATTCCAATGACTTCATCAGGAACTGCCACATTCTAGAGTCATAACTCACGAAGGGTAGAGAGACGATGCCAAAACAAACATACCCATGTTAGTTTGGAACGTTACCACTCGGCTTAAGAAATTTGGAGTTTTACATACATGATGATGGAAGTAGACAATGAGGCGCACGTGCATTAACGTGTAACGTAGCAATTCATTTGGTCTTAGTTCCTGAGGAGTCTGGTATTATTAGTTCTTCATGCAGGGATATCTCCACAGTTCTCAAGAGTATATTTTGGAAAATATAGCAGAATACACATTTACTCATTGTCGACGTAGCTGTTATCTATCGAGGCGCAAACGAGGCTAGAACAGGTTACTCGGTGAGTGCTTCTCCATATGCTTGGTCACAAACAATAATGGTCTGCCCATCATCTTTTATTTTTCCTAGTATTACTAAATTTTCTGCTCTGTATTGACAACATATGATGACTTGTTGAGGACAAGGTCTGGGAGATTGATCGGCTATTGGTTCATTGGATTGAAGAACTCTTCTTCTTCTTCTTAGATGATAAATGCTATATTAAGATTCGTTCTGTACGAGAATACATTTTAAAATGTGAAGAAAATTCTTTCCATTCAGTTATATCATAATTTGGATACTCTTAATTGGGTGAGTTAATACTTTTGTTCTGTAAAGCTTTAAACAGAGTTATTCGAATCTCCATTAGTTGGTTTTAGATGCCTCAGACAGCACACTTCAAGATAAGGTTAAACCATTCACATTAAGATGCTTATCATACAACTTCCTAAGTTGGTGATGACAAGAAACCCACCAACCCTTTATGCCACTCAAAACCATCACCTTTTTCTTTCCTCCTCCCCTTTTCCTTTCCAAATTGTTACAAATATCAAGTGCTAATCATTTTAAATCATTCATCGTTATCAACTAGTTGATACACATGCTTATTTAATAGACATGGTTATCTAGGCGTGTAAAATTTCTTAGATACCGTGATTATTAGGAATTCATTGGTGAAAATCAAGAATTACAACGATCTATTTCATCACGATAAAATTTCAATGATTCGTTGGACCTATTGTCCAAAATACAGCACACATTCGCTCTTCATGCTTTCTCACTCGAGCAACGTCAGTAGGGACTCGAAGAGCAGAGAACGCAATACCCTTTTGTAAGAGTAAGAGTGAGGTTTTGTAAGAGTAAGACTGAGGAGTACCCTTTTGTAAGAGTGAGGAGAAAAGGGAAAACCCAAAAAGATAATATCTACTCGCGGTGGGCTTAAAGGGAAAACTCAAAAGACAATATCTACTCGCGGGTGGGCTTAGGCTAACCTAAAAGGAAAAGCCCAATATCTACTCGCGGGTGGGCCTAGCCAACCTAAAAGGGAAAGTCGAAAAGGACAATATCTACTAGCGGTAGGCTTGGATTATTACAGTAGATCTCTAGATTTCACCTCTACACACGAAATTTCACTCCCATCTGTCTTCACCCTGTTCACATCTTTAATTTTCTTCAATTATCCGGGTGTAAATTAAAGAATGAATTTGAGTGGGTAAGTATGGATTAATGGCATTTAAGAAGGCATTGATTGATCCTTCCAAGGCGTAGCGGAGGAATCTAAAAGGCTCCTAAACTAATCGTAAAAGCAACTTGTCATCTCCAACATGTATCAAATAATAAACAATATGCAAAGCATCCATCCTTGTTAATGTTAATGTTGATGTTAATGTCCAATATCTATATGCCACGTGTATATTCTATCATTTAGGGAAAAAAAAAGTTCTTGGAACAGTGAATAAAATTAGAATATCTGGTTCACATCCACTTTTTCCATGTCTGAAATTCCTCTCTCCTTCTGGCATCATCCATCACTGAATGTGATTCTTTTATTACCGACACGATGAATGATTTGGGTTTGTGATTGTGAGTTTATAACATTTATTTAGGAGCAAAGTCAAAATCTTGCATTGTTTAAGGTAATGGGTCATGCATATTTTTCTAACAATTCTGGCCTTTTCTACTCCCTCGAAGCTGTTTAAAATACGCGTAAATATTACGATTTTAATTTTGGGAATACCAAAGAAATCACTTTTAAGAATGGAGTCATTGACCCCAGATTTATATGACTTTCAAAACTCTGGAGGAGCCCTCGTCTCTGAGTTCTTCTTTCATCTCTTCAGCTGGATTCTGTGTCATTATTCCAACACCATCGCCTTTTTCTTCACTTCCAATCAATTTCTCCCCCAACTTCGTAGCGGTTAAGGTTAATCGATTTCTATCGCTCTTTTTCTGTTCGATTTCTTTTGGGTTTCTGTTGATTTTTCTATTGCCTTCTCGGTTACTTATTCCAGGATCGATTTCGTTTTGCGATTCTGCAATTTCCCATCTCTTGAAATCAGTGTTTGAATCACACAACCTTAGCCGTCTCAATTCTTTCTCTTCTAGTTTTACAGTGTTCGTAATTCTTTTCTTCCTGCTTCTTGCGAATATAATCGATTCTTTGAGTGAATTTATCTGTGCGATTACATCTACTCTTTTGGAATACGCAACTGATTGATTGCTTTTGTCGCTATTTTTCTTTTCCCGAAATGAAATTGAAATCCAAAGCGGATTTCGTTTTCATATGCAGTTGGCTTTATGCTTCCGATTGCCGCATCTTCTTTTTTGATTTACAACATCTTCTTTTTTGATTTACAACTTACAATGAAATTAACTTCCGTTTTCTGGGTTTCTCGATTTTTGCAGAATGGCCCTCATCATAATCTGAGCGAAAAATTCTCTGCTAATTAACCGCATTCGATTACTCGTGTGGGATTTTGCTTCCTTCCTTAGGAAATCCAATTTGTCTGTGATTGATTGAAGACGTTTCGATATGGCTGGAGTGGGAGATCAATTAGAGATCAAGTTTCGATTGAACGATGGATCGGATATTGGCCCCAAAACCTTCCCTGCTGCTACAAGCATCGCAACCTTGAAAGAAAGCGTTCTTGCACAATGGCCAAGAGGTGTGTTAAATTTAAACATCTTTCTGTGTTTGATTTTATTTGAATTCCTATGCTTCACTGATTTTGTTGCTTTGTTCGTAATTGAAGTATTAAGTTTAAACATTATCACCATATTGGCATCTGTTAATCTTAAGAACAAACATAGCACAAGCAAAGCTCAGATCTGATGTAGACTCTGCACTTTTTTCATTCTTGCTGTTGCCATTTGTGAAGAGAAACTTAACACCCCGTTAATGGAAGTTCAGTGGTGCATAAAAACTCATCACATTCTTCATATGCTGGATCTTTATAATCATTTTGAAGTTATTTATTAGATTCTATGGCTCTTTGAATGAATTTATATATTAAAGAATGTCTGATTCTTTGTCTGGTTTGGTCTGATCATGTACTTAACTGAAGAATGCCCTTTGTTTTTCATTTACCTTGGATCTATTGGTTTCTTTCCTTCTTCATCTTATCACTAGTTGTAATATATTTATTTCTAGCCCTTCTGGCATCAATGCCTTCATGTCTTTGTCCTATCCGCTGTAAGTAGATCGAGAGGTCCTTCCACCCCTTGTCGCTGAATAAGGGTCATATGTTCTCATAAAAGGTTGCTCCAATCTTACCTAGCTGGCGAGCGATCCCAGTTTGCCGCAGAGAACAAGACAGGAAGCGAGCGTACCTTTGTTCGCTTCTCCACCAAACACAGAAGTTTAAGGATAACTTTGTCTATACATCTTGAACTCTGATTGATTAGGTGTGTTGTGCTATGGCTTGGATCTTTCATTGACGTATATACCACAACTCTTTCGTTTGCACTTAGTTTTTAGTTGAAATCAAGTTTGAGTTCAATTAATAACTGTAAAGAACACAGTTTCTTGCATCTCTTCTTTGATCTTCATTTTTCTTCCCTGAGGTAGCGAATCTTGTAATATCATTATCCAGAAGCATATATCTGTTGGATTTTGACTCATCCGCCTTGTCTTGCCAAAATACTGCCACCGGATCCTAGATTAATGATAATTTTGATATTAAGCAATGGCAAGCAGGATGACATTACTGTTGCATTTAATACTGGCTAGATCTTAAAATGTTCTTTTTTCTTTGTTACCATCCTCTTGTGAATGTAATTGTGATTATTTGTTTTAGCAGAAAAGGAGAATGGTCCAAGAACAGTTAAGGATGTGAAGATAATAAGTGCTGGAAGAATCTTAGAGAACAATAGAACACTTAATGATTGCAGAAGCCCATTATATGACATTCCTGGCAGTGTTACAACCATGCATGTTGTTATCCAACCACCCAGCTTGGAGAAAGGTATTATCTGTTCTTTAAAAAGTTCAATATCATTAGGAAGTTCGAATGAAACATCGCATTAGGCTAAGAAGAGTATATGAACCTCTTGCGGCTGTTCTTTGATATTGAGCCAAACGAAACTTTAGGGTTGAATGGGATTGTTGATGAAAGTTGTGTTGTTTGCTTTAGCAGAAAAGAAAGCTGGAGACCAATCACCACAAAACAAGTGTGTTTGTTCCATACTATAAACGGAACTCGTGGAAGTTCTCGACGACGATGACGCCATTTTTGAGTGCATAAAAATAGCAAATTTTCCTTTTAAAAGTTCTGATGCCAATAACAGCTTGGAATCAGTTGAAGAAGCTTATTCTGGAGCTTTTATTATTGTTTCCACAGTAGTAAAAGAAAAAAGAAACAGACAGAGGTAGCGAAGAACGCGAAGAAGATGGATAATTTATCGACACAAGCCAGTAGTGTTGTAGATCAACCCATGGCAGTTGAATATCTAGATGATGATCTATTATGAAGGATTGTTAGCCTTTCAACATCCATTGTTAGCTTCATTTGTTGTTCAGATTGATTTTCTGCTATCTCAAATGTTTGTGGAGAAAGCTTTATATACTTGAAGTTGCAGTTACCCCCAACTTCATGACACTTTCCTCCTTCCTTCCCAAACTAAATGATAATATTTCTTTCATTTTCTTTCCAATATGCTTTTATTACCTATGAAATGAATCTGTATTTAAACATGATGATCTTGATCTTGTTCGTCAACCCTTCCAAAGTTCATAACAGTTCTAATAGACTTTCTTCAACAAGAACTAATAAACTTTCTTCAACAAGAACTAATAAACTTTCTTCAACAAGAACTAATAAACTTTCTTCAACAAGAACTCGACAAAGACAGCAACCTTAACGATTTTCGTTATATTTTTCATTAGTGAATTGCTAGTTTTGTACAGAAAAATCTTCCTGTCATTGAAAAGATGAATCTATATCAGTTGAGTAGAAGGATTGGGGATTAGGGAGCAGAATAATCTTCCTAAAACAATACTTCCTATCTAACTGTGTACAGAATAATCTTCCTATCATTAAAAAGAGAAATCTATACCTATTCTGCAGCGTTAACACACCAACTCCATACCTCTTTCACTCTACGCAGACAATTAGAGATTCATAAGTCTAAGTGTCAATACTCTGGAGAAAGTCTTCCATCTTGCAGGGAGATCACTGTTTCAAATGCACCAACCAAGGCCTTAACCTTGCTCTTTCGAGTTTCGACCAGTTTACTTGCGGTTTCTTCAATGACATTGTTAAACAGTCCCTGTGCATCTTTTCTCTGCTGCACATCTTGGTGCCTCAGAACAACTATTTCTTGAGCCATTGCTGTGTCCCCGTCGACTTCTGTTCCCATCTTGAAGTTCTTCCTTAGGCCATCTGCATCCCTTCGGCTCTCCCCCAACAGCCTTCCACGCCTAAATTTAAGCCTCCTCGGACTGTTACTCTTGGAAGGGATGTCAATGATTTTCCCTCTCCTGAAACTTAGTTTTGTAGATTGGGGATCCTCTTCTTTATTATGCAACATCCGAGGATTTTGGTATCTTGCATTTTGACCACCTTCTTCACTTGAAGCATTATCTGTTTCCATGCTGCCATATTCATTGCTTTCAGAGAAAGAGTCATTCTCTGTTTCACTCTCTGTGTATTCAGATACATCTTGATCTTTTACCTTAGCCAAAATATACTGAGCTGATGGCGGTGATAGCGAATTAGGCGGTGACGATGGCAATGGTTCCACGTTATCAAAAGTTTCATTTTGACCATCAGTTTGATGAGGCATCTCCTCATTTTCTACCTTGATGACATACAAGGTCTTCTCTTGGACCTCTACACTCCGGAAGGTTTCTCCTTGGAACGTTTCTCCTCGAACCTCTTCACTTCGGAAGGTTTTCTTGTCGACCTCTTCACTCTGGACTTGTTGATGGTCAGATAGTTTGTTCTTGTTATGAGTTTTATGCAGACCGCCTTTCAAGCTAACACGCTTTCTTGCACTTAAGTTTGCATTTCCATAGATAGAATTTGAGGAAAATGAGCCTGATGAGGTTGCCACCACTCTCTTTGCAGCTACTTTGGAGGTCCCCAAATTTTTTACCATTTTCGAACCATTTGTTCTTCGCGAACCGTCCGTAGACACTGCAGATCTCAATGGATTTACTTTGATAGACTTCAATTTCACAAAATTTTCAGTCTTTTCAGGTAACTTTCTCTCCTTGGTTTTTGCAAGAACTGCAGAGTCTTCTGGATTTCTAGTAGCTGTAGACGTTTCAGGCTTCGAGTTTTTCAGCGTGTTTGCAGTATGTGATCTCGACTTGGCTAAGGCTTTCGGCTCAGCCAACAATTTCTTCTTTCGTTCATTCAGGACTTCTCTCTGCACTGGACTAGGCCTTGTCAAGGTGGTCACATTAGCTCCAGACATTCTGGAAGTTGATGAAAGTTCAGCCTTCGTCCGAGTTGAAGCTGTTTTCTTTCTCTCAGGAAGTATCGTTCTATTGACCGAACTTCCACTATCAAGTGATATCCTTGCCACATTTTTCGACATTCGAGTTGAAATTGTTTTCTTTCTCTCAAGAAGTACCACACCATCTATCGAACTTCTTCCCACATTTTTCGACATCCGAGGTGAAGCTGTTTTCTTTCTCTCAAGAAGTACCACACCATCTACCGAACTTCCTCCATCGAGTGATATTCTTGCCACATTTTTTGACATTCGAGTTGAAGTTGTTTTCTTTCTCTCAAGAAGTACCACACCATCTACCGAACTTCCACCATCGAGTGATTTTCTTGCCACATTTTTCGACATTCGAGGTGAAGTTGTTTTCACCGAACTTTCACCATCGAGCGATATTCTTGCCACATTTTTCAACATTCGAGGTGAAGTTGTTTTCTTTCTCTCAGGGAGTACCATACTGTCAACCGAACTTCCATCATCCAGTGATTTTCTTGTCATATGCTTCGACCTTTCAGTCATAATCGTTTTCTTTCTCTCAGGAATCACCACACTATCTCCCGAACCTCCACCTGTTTTCTTTCTCTCACGAAGTACCACACTATCCACCGAACGTCCACCGTCCAGTGATTTTCTTGTCATAGTCATTGGTTGTCTCGACTTGGTTTCAAAAGTATGGTTTTTCCCATATTTGCAGAAATCATGACAGGAACCAGTAGATATTCTTCGATAATGAGGCACAAATTTTTCTCCGCTATTTGAAGAACTTATCCATCCCGTAGAGCTTCTTCTCGAACCAGTACCCGCAGTCGTAGTCATTTGCACATCACCCTGCTGATCAGCCATCAGAATTTCACACAACACCTGAACAAAAACAATTAGCACACCAATAAAACAAGAGAAACCAACCAAGATCTTATGAATAATAAACTGCAATGGTTCAAAACAATCCCACGAAAATCTCAGTTTGAAGAAAGCAATAAAGAAACTAGTCAGTGATTTAGAAACTATGAGATGAAGAGGACTAGCAGTTGATCCCAACACACAGACATAGTATCATATGATCAAGAAAAATGATATCAGTACATATAAAAAGTGAGAAGAGGGGGCGAAAAACGCTATACGAAGCACCGACTAGCGAGTACGATCATCCAACAAAATGCACCTTAACTCAAGGGATGAATTTGAGAGGCAATAGAACTTCAAGACACATCCATAGCCTTCTCTCATTTAAGATATTTATTCTCATGCGTTTCTTCCAAGACAAAGGTTAGAAAACAAAATGGAAACGTTAGATTAATCAAACATTCTTATCATCCCTTTATGACATTAAAAACATATATGGAAAGAAAACAAAACAAGATCAAAATGCAATAATTTACATCCAAGGGAAAAATGAATCCACATGAACATAGATGAAAATGAACTTTCTAAACAAAAAATCAGTTGGTTCACCATCTGCTGGTTCAATAGAGCATGAAACACAATTATTAGAACACATAAATACAAAAGTCCGTGTGGAATCATTAGCAAGAAGACAAAGGTTGTCCCTGCAATCCTGCCAAGATGTGAACAGGGAATGCTGGAAGCTGGCAAACTCGCTCGCAGGCCAAAACATCTAACAAAGAAAGGAGAAGAACAAAGAAAGGAGACCAAGAAAAGCTAACAAAATAAGAAAACAGAGCACATCCCATATCAGATGAGAGACAAGTCACTTAATCAACCATCGCAGCAATCAACATTGTAAAACATGAAGAACACAAGAGATAGTAATTAAACAAGCCCCTAGAGGAGCATAAACAACGAGGATTTACAAACCAAACAGGAAAAGAAGAAGGAAGAACGAAGAACAGAACCCCATTTCAGAGATGAAGCGAAAAGATTCCTTATAGCCTTACCGAATAAAAAACCAAGGATGTGGGTTTTGGTTGTTGGGCAAGAAAATGTTCAGCCCCCTGTGTTGCAATCACCAGAAATCAAGGAAAAAAGGAAGAGCAAGGAAAAATGAATGAACCCAGTAGGGCGGTGAAGGCGGAAGGAAATAGGGAGAGAAAAAAAGGGTCCAGTGATTTAGAGACGATCGTCTGTTTTGTATAGCATTATATGTTTATGAGCACCAAAAATGTCGGTTTCGATTCCCTTTAGCGGTCGTGCAAGCAACTGTTATATATCTCTTCCCCGTTCGGTTGCGTTTTCTTTTTCCTGTCCGCGTTGGTTACAGAGATTCTTAACACCAAAATAAGAGAAACAACGCTGGTCCTACAAAGGGAGCGGTTGCAGTGGGGAGAAAAAAAGGAACTTTCTCTCAATAACAATATGCAATTGATTGGACATTTTTGCATCGGAACCCAAAACTTTCGTGGAAAATAATGAAAGCTAACACACACATTACGAAGAGAATGGTATTTAATAAAAAGGGTTTTGTTGACAATTTGATTTCCATAAATGGGATTTACTCCCTTTTTCATACCAATCTTAACACATTCATTTTGTAGCCTAAGACAATGCTTTATAACAGAATGAATTCAAACTTTTTTCAGAGAAAGTGGCTGGAACGTGTGTCTATCCCTTACAGAAATGTCTTCAACATGAACCACTGGACAAAAGGGACTAAAAAGCCATTCTTTATATACCCACATTACTTTCAACATCCAAGTAAATAATAATAATAAAGTAAAATGTTTTAGATTTTGGTATAGATCTAATAATAATGGGGGAAGGGGGAGACAACTTAGGTGTCCCATAGCTTTATGATTATGAAAAGATATATATGGGGCAGATGGGTCTCATATTAAGATGTCACAATATTTGGAACATGAAATTGGTTGAGTGGGATTTTCCCAATTCCATTGTTGGGTCTGTTTCCCACCCTCCACAAGATGAGGATTTTTTTAATATTTTTTTATTTTTTATAGCATTGTTTTAATTGGGAATTATTGGAAAGAAAGTGATTTGAATTAAAAATTAAAATTTTTGATTAGTTGAATTGTTTTGTAGAGTTATTTGAATGTTGTGTTTAAAAAAGAAGCGTTGAAACCTATCATTGTATTGGTAAAAAGTTATGGGGACATAAAAGTTATGGGGACATAAAAGTTATGGGCAAAAGTGGCACAAAAGATGGAAGAAAAAAGACAAATGGATATCAGTTGGGATGCACCTTGGATACCTTCTACTCCCACCATGTCTTCCAATTTAATGTCTAATTTTAACTCCAACCCATTAGGTTCATATCTACTTATTCTCGTCTACTTATTCTCGTAAGGTTAGGGTCACATCGTTTGGAGTGGAAAGGATAACGAGGGTTTGAAAACCTCTCCCTAGTAGACGTATTTTAAAATTACGAGATCAAGGGCCAAAGCGGACAATATCTACTAACGATAGCCTTGAGTAGTTATAGTGGTATCAGAACCCAACACTGGGCGGTGTGTCAGCGAGGACGTTGTCCCCCAAAGAGAGTAGATTGAGAGATCCCACATTAGTTGGAGAGGAGAACAAAGCAAGGTGTGGCAACCCTTAGTAGTTACAGTGGTATCATAACTAGGCATTTAGGAGTGTGTCAGCGAGACACCGTCTCTCAAGGGTCAAGCACAAGGCAGTGTGCCAGCAAAGATGTTGGAGTGAATTGAAAGATTCCATATCGGTTGAAGAGAAGAACAAAACTGTCAAAACATTTCTTATAAGAGCGTAGAAACCTCTTTTTAAGAGATGTGTTATAAAGCCATGAGCTCGAAGACCAAATCGAATGTGCGTACTGATTTACATCCCTTAGTTAGGGAAGACTTTGTAATGGGATTGGATTGGTCAATTAGCATAAAGATAGATGAAACAACATTGACTCATTCAATTTTCTTCTATCTATAAATTTTATTTACATTCATGGTAAAAATAATGTCATTAATTAATAACATAACCTACATTGATTGTGACAAAATCTTCTATGGTTGGTAGGTTGACCATCTATTTTCTCTGCTTGCTTGCTTGAAACGTTTCCCCTATTTAGACTTCGGCCCTAAGGAAAGCTTCTAAATTACTAACAAAATCATTCGTTTGGTTCTTTCTTAAAATAATCTTTTAAATCAACGTCACAATTCTTCATAGTGATATTCACTTTACCTGGAAAAAAGCAATATGCATCAAATAATTTGCCAACTTTCTAAGTGAAGTAAGAATATCAAAACATAGCTCAACTAGTCAAGACACGTATCTTTGACTTCGACTTAACAGACAAGTTAGAAGTTCAAACTTGTAAGCATAGCAATATTGATTGCTATCTTTTTGAGCAAATGATTCAAACTTTCTTATGTTCTTCTAGTTCGTTCCCGAGCGTTTTCGAGAAAATCCTCCAAAAGTATAAACTGACCAAAATATGCAACTATGAATTATGCAGCATATCTTTTCTTCTGCATTTGCTTTCAGGAGATGTCATAATCAGATATCAGATTACCTTCTATATTCAAGTGTCAAAGACAAGGACAATGATTGGTCAATCTACATTACTGAAATATATGGGTGTGCTAAACTTATCTGGTATCTTTGAAGATCGTCTTTCGTCGATTACCTTTTTCGGCCCGACACCGTCTTCTTAACAGCGCCAACTGATACTAAAAACTGGTCAAGGGATGATAAGGTCTTCATATCATCTGGTGGAAAGTAACTGGCAGCCTTCCCCATGAGTGATGTAAAGAGAAGAGACAGTGAAGGACGGTTGATGTAGCGCTCTCCCAGTAGGTCGTCGAGAAATCCGAATGCAGTTAAGAAATCGGACCTACTTGCATTTACTGGAGCTGCAAAGTGAGCAGGGATGATTCTCTTGAACTTCCAATCCCGGACGATTCTATCGATCCAGTCCCTTACCTGATAGCAGAATCAATGTATAAGAGTAAGATGTCTAGATTTACAAAACTTCTGTCATTCTTCTGTATGCAACATGTTGGTTTATTACCTTTTCAGGAACTTTGCTGAAGACGAGTGTCTTTACTATGGGTGAAACAATAAGTTTCTGGGACATTTGAGCAAAGCTAGCGTTGGGTTCCAAGAGATTTGAAGGCCCAAGAAACAATATCTGAAGAACCATTCTTTCCCACCCTGCATCAACAATCACCATTCATCAGCTTCTTTGAACAAACATAATGGCACTAAAATAAGCATTTAATCTCGAGGTGTCGAAAGCATATGAACTGTGAGATCCCACATCGATTGGGGGAAGAGAACGAAACATTCTTTATAAGGGTGTGGAAACTTCTCCCTAGCAGACGCGTTTTAAAACCTTAAAGAGAAGCCCAAAAGGGAAAGCCCAAAGAAGACAATATCTGCTAGCAGTGTTTAGGGTCGTTACAAATGGTATCAGAGCCAGACACCGGGCATGTGCCAATGAGGAAGCTAAGCCCCAAAGGGGGTGGACAGAAAGCAGTGTGCCAGCAAGGATGCTAGGGCTCGAAGGGGGTGGATCCAGTCTCACATCGATTGGAGAAGGGAATGAGTGCCAGCGAGGACGCTAGGTCCCAAAGTGGAGTGGATTGTGAGGTTGGGGAGGGGACGGAAGCATTCTTTCTTTATAAGGGTATAGAAACCTCTCCCTAGCAAACACGTTTTAAAGCTTTGAAGGGAATGCCGAAATAGGACAAAATCTGCTAGCGGTAAACTTGGGCTGTTACATGAACGAACCTTTTTGACGGTTGACCATGTTGTCAACAACAGGCTCTTCAGGGACCTCCTTTCCTTTACTAAGGAGTTTTACCGCCAAACCATTCTTTGCAGATGCCAACAAGGATTCTTTGCTAATGCATTCAGGTGGTTGTCGAGGGACAAAGATTACAGCATCTGTTACCAGTAATGTTCTCGACCGCTTATGATAAAAAGCCACCTCCACATACGGTCCAATCCCTGCAACAATCAACCAAGTTTTCACTAGCAACTAAGGAACTCAACTTAACAGGACATGACCAATTCTTATTACCAACTTCTGGTGAGCTCAAAACCTTCTGCTCAATCTCATCAGCCCATGGAGCAAATAAATCCTCATCTTTCAATGTCTTAGCTCCAAATATTCCAAAGAACTCCAATGGCAAGTTCAATGGCCAACTCCATTGCCTTGGTGCCACCCATATCTGAGCTCGTGGAAACTTCCTCGAAAAGGGTCCAACAAAAATCTTATGCTCATAAGCAAACGTTGGTAAAACAATGTATTCTACGGGAGCCTCCAACTCATTCAGAAGCTGTCAAGATAAGAAAACTTTTGAACACAAGTAATATAAATCCTACAATTATCATTTGTTCTTCATAGATGAACTTATTCAATGAGTAGAAGTAGAAACAGAACCTGAATACACTCCTTAGTTGGTGCAATGGGAGCATGGACCCATAAGCCCCCAGATTTGAGTTTAATGACAGTCATCCTAATATTTGTTGAGACACTACTGAATCCCAGGGCTTGTTCTTGCTCAAAAAGCCATATACAACCTTTTACAGCCTAAAAGAACACAACGATTTAAAAAACCCAAATCCACAAAAGCTGAAAATTCAAAACAACATATACCCACATGCCCATATGTTCAGTTCATCTGTAATCAATAAATTTGAAATCGAACGCACAAATTTGCAACAAATTCCATCGAATCAAACAGACCCATAATAAGAAATAGAAGAAAGGGGAAATGGTTAAGTTTTACCTCTGTTCTTATAGTGCGACGATTAAGAAAGGGGCCGAGGGGAAAAGGGAAACCAGTGAAATTGAAGTAGAATCTTTCGCCGGCATTCGCGTCGCTGCTGCTGGATGGAGTGGCGGAAGCAACGATTAGGCTTAGAGAATCA